GGCATTCACCCAAGTGTTCTGAAAGAACGCAAATGGGAAATTGTGGAACTATTAACTATGGTTTGTAACCTAGTCTTTAAATCAGCTTCCGTAGCTAATGATTGGAAGATAGCTAATGTGATGCCAGTATTTAAAAAGGGCTTTAGAGGTCATCCTGGCAATTACAGACCGGTAAGTCTAACGTCTGTACCGGGCAAATTAGTTGGAACTATAGTAAAAAATAAAATTGTCAGACACATGGATGAATATAATTTGTTGGAGAAAAGTCAACATGATTTCCATGCATTACTATTCTGCTAGAGTTCTTTGAAGGGGTCAACAAGGGGGATCCAGTGGATATAGTCTGCTTAGATTTTTCAGAAAGCCTTTGACAAGGTCCCTCAGCAAAGGCTCTCAGGTTGTCATGGGATAGTAGGGAAGGTCCTTTTGTGGATTGATAATTGGTTAAAAGACAGGAAACAAAGTGTGGGAATAAATGGTAAATTTTCGGAGTGGAGAGAGGTAACTATTGGGGTCCCCCAAAGGTATGTCCTGGGATCCATCCTATTCAACTTATTTATAAATGATCTAGAGAAAGGGGCAAACAGTGAGGTGGCAAAATTTGCAGATGATCCCAAAGTGCTCAAGATACTTAAGACAAAAGCAGACTGTGAAGAGCTTCAAAAAGATATCACCAAACTAAGTGATTGGGCAACAAAATGGCAAATTAAATTTCATGTTGATAAATGTAAAGTAATGCACATTGGAAAACATAATCTCACCTATATATACACAATATGATTGGGACTAGTTTGGCTACAGCTACTCGAGAGAGATTTTAGAGTCATTGTGGATACTTCTCTGAGAACATCCACTCAGTGTGCAGCGGCAGTCAAAAAAGCAAATAGAATGTTTGGAGTAATTGAAAAAGGGATAGAAAATAAGACAGAATATTTCTTATTGCCTTTATATAAAACCATGATACGCCCACATCTTGAATACTGCATACAGATGTGGTTGCCTCATGTCAGAAAAGATATATTGGCATTGGAAAAGGTTCAGTAAAGGGCAACAAAAATGATGAGGGGTTTGGAATGGGTCCCATGTGAAGAGAGAGTAAAAAGATTTGGACTTGTCATCTTAGAAAAGAGGAGACTAAGTGGGGGATATGATAGAGGACTATAAAATCATGATGGGAGTGGAAAAAGTGAACAAGGAAAAATTATTTACTTACTCCCACAATAAAAGAACTAGGGGTCACCAAATGAAATTAGTAGGCAGTAAGTTGAAAACAAAAGGAAGTTTTTTTTTTTTTTCCCTCAGCACACAGTCAATCCATGAAACTCCTTGCCAGAGGATGTGGTGAAGGCTAGAACTTTAACAGAATTTTTAAAAAGTGCTAGATAGATTCATGGAGGTTAGGTCCATCAGTGGCTACTAGCCAGGATGGGTAGGAATGGTATCCTTATCCTCTGTTTCTTCATCGAGTAGTGTCCCCGAGGGTGCTCCACTCGAGGTGCTGGGCTCGTCCTGGCGCCGCAAACCGGAGGAATTTTCACTAGCAGTAGCCCCCCTGCCGGACCGCGCATGCGCGAGTGTCCCCTTCGCGCCTTTGATCTGAGCGCAACCGGGTCACGATCAGCCTCCAGATATCTCTTATGGGGTTCCATGACACACATCATAGGGGGAAAGCTGACTGGTGTGGAGGAGCACATGGATTGGACCGAGACATCTGTTAGGTGAGGTTCTGTTAATACAGGTGCTATTAATAGAGGTATTAGGGGAGGTTCTATTAATAGAGCTGTTCAGGAGGAGAGGATGGAAGAATGGGTCAGATCAGATGAGACACAATCAAATGAAAAAGAGTAACACATCAAGAAATGGCAGACAGATAAATAGTGACAAATTATTAAACTGCTTATGCACAAATGCTAGAAGTCTAAATAGTAAAATAGGTGAACTAGAGTGCCTAGTTTTAAAGAAGGATATTGATATAATAGGCATCATGGAAACTTGGTGGAATGAGGACAATCAATGGGACACAGTCATACCAGGTACAAACTATATCAGAAGGACAGAATAGGTCATGCTGGTGGGGGAGTGGCACTATATGTGAAAGAAAATGTAGAATCAAATAAAGTGAAAAATCTTAAATGAGCCAAAATGTTCCATAGACTCTCTTTGGATAGTAATTCCATGCTCCAATAATAAGAATATAGCAGTAGGGATATATTATCGACCACCTGATCAGGACAGTGATAGTGACTATGAAATGCTAAGGGAGATTAGAGAGGCTATCAAGTTTAAACATTCAATAATAGTGGGGGATTTCAACTATCCCCATATTGACTGGACACACGTCGCCTCAGGATGGGATGCAGAGATAAAATTTCTTGATGCCTTAAATGACTCCTTCTTGGAGCGGCTGGTCCTGGAACCCACAAGGGGCCGCAGGTTGGCCACGGCTGTCCTAGACTGAGGTGTCGTCAGAGGAGGTTTTGGAATAAATTGATAAACTTAACAGTAACAAGTCACTGGGACCAGATGGCATTCACCCAAGTGTTCTGAAAGAACGCAAATGGGAAATTGTGGAACTATTAACTATGGTTTGTAACCTAGTCTTTAAATCAGCTTCCGTAGCTAATGATTGGAAGATAGCTAATGTGATGCCAGTATTTAAAAAGGGCTTTAGAGGTCATCCTGGCAATTACAGACCGGTAAGTCTAACGTCTGTACCGGGCAAATTAGTTGGAACTATAGTAAAAAATAAAATTGTCAGACACATGGATGAATATAATTTGTTGGAGAAAAGTCAACATGATTTCCATGCATTACTATTCTGCTAGAGTTCTTTGAAGGGGTCAACAAGGGGGATCCAGTGGATATAGTCTGCTTAGATTTTTCAGAAAGCCTTTGACAAGGTCCCTCAGCAAAGGCTCTCAGGTTGTCATGGGATAGTAGGGAAGGTCCTTTTGTGGATTGATAATTGGTTAAAAGACAGGAAACAAAGTGTGGGAATAAATGGTAAATTTTCGGAGTGGAGAGAGGTAACTATTGGGGTCCCCCAAAGGTATGTCCTGGGATCCATCCTATTCAACTTATTTATAAATGATCTAGAGAAAGGGGCAAACAGTGAGGTGGCAAAATTTGCAGATGATCCCAAAGTGCTCAAGATACTTAAGACAAAAGCAGACTGTGAAGAGCTTCAAAAAGATATCACCAAACTAAGTGATTGGGCAACAAAATGGCAAATTAAATTTCATGTTGATAAATGTAAAGTAATGCACATTGGAAAACATAATCTCACCTATATATACACAATATGATTGGGACTAGTTTGGCTACAGCTACTCGAGAGAGATTTTAGAGTCATTGTGGATACTTCTCTGAGAACATCCACTCAGTGTGCAGCGGCAGTCAAAAAAGCAAATAGAATGTTTGGAGTAATTGAAAAAGGGATAGAAAATAAGACAGAATATTTCTTATTGCCTTTATATAAAACCATGATACGCCCACATCTTGAATACTGCATACAGATGTGGTTGCCTCATGTCAGAAAAGATATATTGGCATTGGAAAAGGTTCAGTAAAGGGCAACAAAAATGATGAGGGGTTTGGAATGGGTCCCATGTGAAGAGAGAGTAAAAAGATTTGGACTTGTCATCTTAGAAAAGAGGAGACTAAGTGGGGGATATGATAGAGGACTATAAAATCATGATGGGAGTGGAAAAAGTGAACAAGGAAAAATTATTTACTTACTCCCACAATAAAAGAACTAGGGGTCACCAAATGAAATTAGTAGGCAGTAAGTTGAAAACAAAAGGAAGTTTTTTTTTTTTTTCCCTCAGCACACAGTCAATCCATGAAACTCCTTGCCAGAGGATGTGGTGAAGGCTAGAACTTTAACAGAATTTTTAAAAAGTGCTAGATAGATTCATGGAGGTTAGGTCCATCAGTGGCTACTAGCCAGGATGGGTAGGAATGGTATCCTTATCCTCTGTTTCTTCATCGAGTAGTGTCCCCGAGGGTGCTCCACTCGAGGTGCTGGGCTCGTCCTGGCGCCGCAAACCGGAGGAATTTTCACTAGCAGTAGCCCCCCTGCCGGACCGCGCATGCGCGAGTGTCCCCTTCGCGCCTTTGATCTGAGCGCAGTCCGGTCTCGTCAGTTTCTCTCCAACCGTCCGCAGCCGCAGACGGAGTTAGTTTAGGCTCCCTTCTCCTCTCTGAGGGGAAAGGGAAAAACCTTCCTAGTTGTTGTTTAGTTAGCGATAGGTAGTTATCTGTTCTAGTTGTAGTTCCCCCTTTATTTAAAAAAAAAAAAAACAAAAAAGACGCCTTTGATCTGAGCGCAGTCCGGTCTCGTCAGTTTCTCTCCAACCGTCCGCAGCCGCAGACGGAGTTAGTTTAGGCTCCCTTCTCCTCTCTGAGGGGAAAGGGAAAAACCTTCCTAGTTGTTGTTTAGTTAGCGATAGGTAGTTATCTGTTCTAGTTGTAGTTCCCCCTTTATTTAAAAAAAAAAAAAACAAAAAAGAAAAGAAAAGCCGCTTTTCTTCAGCGGGCGGTCAGGGCTTCCCTGACTGAAATTGACAAGAACAAAGGACTCAAAAAAAAAATGCCAGGATCACCCGGCTTCAAGAAGTGCCTCCAGTGCCAGGAGGCTATCCCCATCTCAGATGGACACTCCCGGTGTGTCCGATGTCTCGGGGACACTCATGTCCCAGCCAAGTGCAGTCACTGCGCGAAGATGACAGCTCGCGCTAGAAAGGATCGGGAGCTTAGGTTGAGAGTCCTTCTCTTCAATAAGGCTCTCCAAGCTCCGGAGGTCTCCGAGCCGCACTCTGCATCTCCTCAGCAACCCGGGCAAGCCCCCAGGACCCACGGGACGCCAAGCGCCAATGCAGGCAAGCCGGCGAGCTCTGGCT